GTGTGCACGTGCTGGTGTTTGCGAGTGCAGGTGGGTGGGTGGGTGAGTTGGTGTGGGTTCGTACGTGTGCACGAGTGTGTGTGTGTGCATAGGGCGCGCACGCTCGTCAAATGGATTTGTGCGCATACAGCACACGACTGTTGCATTCCCCTCTCAGTGATCAAGTATGGACCTCGCTTTGCAAATGGATGGCGCACGACGATTTCGCGCCACGCCCCGCGCGTTCCACCCCGCTCCTCATATCCCATCCGCACCACCACCCACCCTGCCGTACCCCGCCGTCACCCCGCCATCACCCCGCCATCACCCCATCATCACCCAACTGCCCCTGTTGACCCCCAGGTGGCCCCTGAGCTGTACCCCTACGGCAGCCGCGGCCCCGTCGGCGCGCACTACCTGGCGGCAAAGTACGGCGTCAGGTGGGGCGACCTCGCCGAGGACGAGGACGAATGACATGTGGTGACATCACCTGCTGCGATGTCATCATGATGTCATAGCGATGTCAGCAGGCCGTCATGATGGCGGTCGCTGGCCCAAGCTCAGGAGCCGGCCATGCTTTATGTCCTGGGCTTTGCTGACGCTGCCGCCTAGTGTGTGCTCGTGCGCATACATATATCGCCGCCCAACAGGGCAAGAATTTGTGTGATGGGGTTTTGGTTTGTGCTGGATGTTTGTGTTTTTTGCAGCCACGGCTCAACCGTTTGAGCCTCTCGCTGCACCCGGGCGAGCTGATTCGCATGCCTGGATGCCGCCACATCCACGGCGGCAACTGGCGTGTGCACAGCCGCACACGTGCATTCCTCGCGCTGATTCAGACATACACACACAGAGACACCCACACACACACACGTTTGGACGGTTGGGGTCGCACATCTTTCCCCTGGACCCTCTCAGCAATCAAGTTGGGTCACAGTACTTGCAAACAACTTGCTGTATAATGGGTTGCCGCCCGCCCATTGAGTCGTAATTGCAAAGGCCACCTGCGCTTTGGACGCAACGCACACACCACAACCTCACAAGAGTAATGCCTTCAAGCGTCGTACAACCACAGTGGGTGACAGGATACGCTGATGATCCGCAACCTTTGATCGATGCCACGTGCCGCGGGCACCATGGAGCTGCCATGACATTGGTACGCCACCACTTGCACAAGCGCGTGCATCATGTCGTCGGCATGGTTGACTCGTTGACTAGTTGACAGACCCTGTACCGGCAGACCAGGTACAAACGGGCATCGCTTTGCATCCCTGGTAATTATAAAGATCTACATCCCTCTGGACTTTTATCGCTGCGATATTGCTGCCCGCCCTCGCAAAGTCAGCGATCTGGCCGCGAAGCCTCACAGCGTGCAACACAAATAACTAGGAAGATCGAGAATCATATCCGCACGCACCTGAAATGAGAGTGTAGCTCGCACTGAGTGCCGCACGTTGCCGCGCCGCATGCACACACTGCGAGCGCGTAGTGAAGCGCAGCACGACTCGTCGGTCGGACGAGCAGCTCAGAAATCTGGGCCATCAGCAGAGTGCGCGCCCACAGGACAGGCCACCCGCCGGCTGTGCTCAGGATGAGCCTGTACGACCTGCAGCAACGCACAGACTTGATCTTAAAAAAGTGAGGCCCATGCAGGCCAGACCTGAGGCTGCAAGAGGGGTCACTGCAGTGTGCTGCACCTGCTGTACTCCATGTAGGCCGTGTCTGTTTGAATGCAGCTGCCATGACTTTGCCTTCCAATAGCCCCGCGCTGTCGTCGCCGCCAACCCCACTGCGAGCCCAGGGGCCGTCACAATGGGCCCGCATCGCACCCCAGCGTCTGCCGTCGCCCCGGGCCCGCTCCCCTTGGGGCGCTCTCACCGCAGCGCCGCGCTGCAGCACGGCCCTCCAGCCAACTTGATAAAGCCTCTTACTAACGCGCCCCCCACACTGCTGTCAACCCTCGGACGGGAAGGTATGCCCAGTACGACAAGCCGATGGACAAGCGGCGTGAGACCAAGGGTGAGGACCCGTTCAACGACGAGTTCGACCTGCTGGACGCCCGGGCTGACGAGCTGCTGCAGGTGGGGGGCGGGTTGTAATGGGTGGTCCCGGGGCGGTGACGCGGTGGGGTTGAGGAGGTGTGTGTTTTGCCAATGACTTGGGTTGACAAGGTGCTAACAAGGGCAGCAGATTGGGGTGCGGGGCGATGTGATGTTACATCGCGCATTCCGTTTTGATTCGGTGCCGTGTGAGGGGCTGCTTTTGTGGAGTGTTGTGAGGTTGTGCTACAATTGTGGCTTGAGCCCCGATGGCTTTTGGGATCCACTGTCCTCAGGAGCCGCACAGGTCAGCACGGGCATGCCCGGGCTTTTGACCACAGAATCAAAGCAGCTAGTGCTTATCAGGCTGCCTGCAGCGTGCTTGGAAATATTGTACACAAGCAATCACGCGTGCCTCTGCCCCTTGGTGTTGCAGCAAGCGGAGGAGAACTCAAAGGAGGGCAACCGCGCGGTTGTGGCGACGCGCAACGCAGAGATTCGGTGCGCCTGCCCGGGCCGCCGGTGCACGCGCCACGGGTCGCCACCACTGCCAACAGCCCCCCTCCACCACCCCGCTCATTTGTTGCTGCACTCGAAACTCTGCCTGGCACATGCATGGCAACAGCTGTTGTACCATCTGTACCAGCAAACACGGCAAGTGATTAGGACGTTGATGGTGTATTGACACATAAGACTGCGCTGCTGTCTGTGTACCAATATGTGTGTGCGCAGGAAGTCCAAGCAGTGGTTGCTGTCCGAGGGCATCGCGGGCCTGCAGAAGAAGGTCAAGAAAGGCCGCGGCGTTACCAAGGTCCTCATCGAGGAGCGCCAGCGGCGGGTGGGTGCCGGCGGGGTGCAGGGGGGGGGCGCTGGGGGCCAAAGGGGTCGTGTGGGATGCTGGATGCTTGGGTGAGCGATTGCAGCCTGAGCAGCATGCACTGTGTTCTTAACTCTCCTCGTGTCATCACCAAATAAACGGGCACTCCAGCAACCCAGCGAGCTATCGGCCGCCCTGCATGCAGGTAGCCGCCCTGATCGACAAGATCTACTCGATTCCGGACGGCATGGGCGGCGCCAGGCGGCCTATCCACGCCAAGGTGGGGGTCGAGATGACGTCAGGGCGTGGTCTCCTGGAATGTGCGTTGTTGGTCGTGCACGTTTGCCCAGATGCTGATCCTTGCTTTGGTGCTCACGCCAGCTACGCAGCCCAGGCAGGACCCACCTGATTTTGTCTCTGGATCCCACCTTGACGGCTCCCCAGCACCGCAGTCCCCTAACGGTCAGCAGCCCCGACCACTCTGCACCCATCACGCATCCCGCAGCTGGGCCTGGGCGGCAAGGGGGCCGAGCCCATCAGCCTCTCCTTGCAAGGTTCTACAGGCATCCAAGCGACGCCCGCCTATTATCAGTCAACCGCGGAGACGAGCCAGTTTGAACAGGTGCGGCTTCCCACAGCAACCTGCACCCAGGCTGCTGGCAGCTGCCTTCACAAGCGTGTGTTGCGTGGTGGTGATTACATGCTGGTCAGCGAGGCGGCCACCAGCTCTGCCAGGGGGCTTGCACCCCTCCGTCCTCAAACCACCATTCACCTCAACCCTCGGCACCGCCTGCAGGAGTGGCAGGCGTCTAAGCGCAAGCAGGACGCCCAGCTGGACCGTGTGGAGCGGGGCGTGGGCAACCTGGCAGAAATGGCGTGTGGCATGCAGGTGCGCAGCCGCGAGGCACGGATGTGTCTGTTGGGCTGAGACGCCTGCCGTGTTGCACTCTGATTGATGCTTGAGCACGGCGCTTCGGGGATTACCCGGGTGAGCCAGCTCAGCTGCGCGGAGAGCCGATGCCTGCAGCATGCCCGCCGGCGAGGGCCTTTAGGTCCTTTTGGTTCCAATAGGGCGGGTGTGCGCGGCAGGCCCCTGGAAATCCTGCACATCAGGCAGCTGGCGCTTGAGAGACGCACGGGTGGGGCGGGCCACCACATGCTGGCGCGCCGCTGCGCTAGGACACTCCTGCCTCCTCAGAGCATCTAGCAGAACACACGGGAATGGCGTGTTCGTCAGGCAGTTCACTTCTTCCCCCAAATTCACAAGCCTCCCCTTCAATGTTCACATAGCACATCACACTTGCCCTGTCCGGTCCCCGGTGACAAGCATACGCGAAAGCCCCGTGTCGCGCCCCCCCCCCCC